TTACAGATGATCCCAACAGCTTAATTTCAGAACGTTTTATTCTCTGCCATTTACTAAATAATTGAGGCTTCATAATTGTTAGTTTTTCTTGTTCCTTCTTTTTGAGTATTTTTCTCAGCAGCTAGAAAACCTGGAAAATTGCTTGGGTCTGGGCCCTGAGAGACAGAAACCGTGTCCACTTACAGTATATTACCTCTTCATATTATCTTTATATTACTTTAAGAATCTTCTCTTGTAGTAGGTATAGTTGTGCCTTAAAGCAACACCTCAGCATTTCACTTGTATTTCTTTCTGCCTGTTCATCTTTGGAGGAAGACATATTGCAGCAATAAGAGTAGCGTATCCCGAGCAATTTTCACAAACACACAGAGTTGATTTCATCACACCTGTAGTATATAAAGAAAAACCAAACTACGTTTTCTATCTTTCTCACTTGCACTTGTGTCAGCTTTCAATTGTGTCGGACAGCTGTGAGATGTATGTCTATGAAAATTCAACCTGAGATTTTCCCTTTTGGCACAGCCATCACTAGTGTTGTATATGGTAACTGAAATTTGGATTTATAATGGGGGAGAATGATGACCAGTAATTGCATGAAGTACCTCTTTACATGTTACTCAATGTTTCTAATAAGAAATAAACATGTTTTTAGAAATTATTTTGGATTTCCTCTGTGTAATAAATCATGTGATCTTTGGCCATCATTCAGATCCCAGTAAAGTTATGTCAAGCTACATTTTAGCTACAGACATGTCAAGACTTGTAACTTGCACATCATTATGTCTAGATTTTGTTTGGTTTTGTCTTTGTTCAGAATTTCAAGTGGACCATTTTATTTCTTGTTCTTCAGCTTGCCTGTTTTATTTTCTCTCATTTTAATATCTGGACCAATTAGCTGTTGTCTCTGTATATTTGTTTGCTTTTTGTTTTCTTATTTCAGCAGACTTGTCTCGTGTGTGTGTGTGTGTGTGTGTGCGTGTGCGTGTGCGTGCGCGTGCGCGTGTGCGTGTGCGTGTGCGCGTGCGCGTGTGCCTGTGTACAGAAGCATGTTTGAGTGTTTGTTTCTGTGGTTTCTTATATAATGCATATTTTAAAAAGTCTGTTATTTGTTAGTTTTATGCCCTAAACAATGGAAGTGTGTTTTTGACTGGTGTCCTATCTTTGCCATATCAGCTCTGTCTGATTCAGCCCTTTGTCCTATACCAGGCAAAGATGTATTTGCGGAAACCCTTTTTTATTTTGTTTGTCAATAATATGAAAACCAATAAATACAGTATCCAGTTAGATCCCAGTTGGGGTCTTGAGGGGTTTGACCAGAACTTTGATGTTTTAACCACATTTTACATTTATAATCAAAACCAGTTGTCTGTATTATGTTTCCACTCAGTTTACCACTCCATTTTTTTCTCAGTGTTCAACACTTGCCCCTAGTATAAAAGGTCTAGTTGCTAAGAGCCAAGAGTCAATCCTTAAAGTAAAGGCACTTTCCAACACACTCCTGCCCTCTTTTTGACCTTGCCCACATAGAAAATTGTGAAAAGGTGTTTTTAGTTGGTCTTTATAACTGATTGTGATTTAGTCACATGATGATGGTATGTACAGTTACACTATAACCTTATTCATGTTTTGTCCATATAAAATGTGAATGGATGTCTTGCACACTTATGCTTCTTTAAGGAATGGAGCTGTTGATCGCATTGCAGCCTGAAGCTTAATTCCTGACGAACCTAATTAACCTGGGCACCATGATCGGTGAAAAATGCACTTGTGGTGAGAATGGCATTTGGATGAAGTTGGAAATGCATCTGTGGGCAGTCAGGTTTATTAGAGTGTTTGACCTGTTGGGTCTAGAGAACATTGATCGATCCTACACGCTAGTGGTCAAGGCGTAAATACACAGTTAAGAACAACGCTTAACCATTATATCCACAAGTGATGACCAACAACTGAATCCCACTCCAAAGTTATCATTCTCAAACTTGAATCTCCATTTAAACTAAATTTGGGAGGGCTTATAGAAACTGCCCTTAAATGTTTACATGTGTTTTGAGAGATCATTTGTAAACAGCACACTAGTGCATTATGTCTAAATAATGTGTCATACGTGTAGTGCGAGTGCTCAGGCACATTTTGTAGCTTAGATGATGGCAGGCCACTAGTGATTTCCTTTCTGGCTGCATTGCATTTGAGATTTTACAGGGTGTAAAGACTTTAAGAAACTGTTGCATTCACTCGATAAGCCTAGTATTTAGTTTTTCACAAATTATTTTACACGTAATCTCTGAAGACCTGCTTCACATTCTACCCGTTGTGCTCTTAACAAAAAAGGAAAACAGTGTGTAAATGTTAAATTCATCTCTGCTCCCTTTTCGTGAGCTGCCTTGGGCTGTAAAAGTGAACGCTAACTGCCTTCTCATGTACGTGATGGGGATGATGATGATTGTTGGGCTATTTGTTGAGGTGAAGTCTGGTGTCAGAAAGCCTGTGGTGGTCATCCATCAATGTCCCGCAGCCACATGCCACCATGCACGCACTGGTGAAATGTAATCTTGCACACCGTCTAGAGCCAATTTTGCCGCCACCTCTCACCTGTGGTATAGCTTGGCTCTTTATGATCGAAAAAAAAAAACCTTTGGAGCACACATACATACACTACTTACATCTGCCTACCATAAACACGCATATAGACTCTATGTCCAACCACTGCCCTCTTCTAATGTCTGTGTGTGTTTGTGTTTGACTCAAATGGCAGCACAGATGAGATGGTTTACTTTTATGTAAATATTTTTAAGTCTGGTGTTCTGAGTGTCTTTAATATGAAAAGAATTGAAGTTATTTGGTGTGCAATGGCCACTGCCTTAGACATGACACATAGATGGAATGGGACAATGACTAGATATTGTGTGTATTTTAAGACCTGGCACTCGGTAAGGGAGTCAATGGTGATACAGTGGTGTTATGGATTTAGGGCACTGTCCATGTGTCAGTCATGCTTTGTCCAAGACTAAAGGAGACAATGTCAAAGGAGACAATGTGGTTGTACAGACACAAGTGAAAAGAAATGGGCAAAGAAAAAAAATCTGCTAGAGTTAAACCAGTGCAATATCTTACAATTTTCTATTGTGGTAAGACGCATGTTTGTTGTTAATCCTACCTTATGAATAATAAAGTTTTTTTTTTTTAAGTAACTCCGCATGTGGCTTGTATTTATTTATGTGAGACATTAAGTTGGATCTACCAAACATATGTTGCTAACAGCAAATGAATAATAGTGTTGCATTCAACAGAATGTTTATCATCTGGAATGGAACTGCAAAAATAACTTTTCAAGCAAGTTTAAAACATTCCCGTCTTCCATTGCTTGGTCAAACCGCACTACAACACTGAATATCAAAAGTATAATACTTATCTGCAGAAGTGAAACTAAAACAAGAAAAATAGAAACGTATATTTCTTCTTGTACTTTGAGTACAGATGTAAAAGTAGTTGGTCTCTCTAAAGCTCTATTAAACACTCCAATTGGATGTTCTTTAGTACAAAAAAGGCAATAAATACCATATTAAAAATTTGTGACATTTTCCATGATGCAGTTAAATCTGTTCAATGTTGCATAGGAAGCCAGTTTTAAATGAAGAGTGTTGAAAAATTCACTCTCAGCTCATTTCCCCTTACTTTAGGCATGTTAAATGGATCCCTAATGGACAGTTATTTTGGTATTTGCTCACCCACCTGTCACGAGCTTGTTTCAGGAAATTCATTGCTTTAATGAATGCAGAAGACAGTCGGCACAAGACATAAACACCATGTTAATAGGCAGCATGCCAACGGCATTGACAAGACAAAGTAATGAAGTCCATTAGATTCTGGTGAGTGTGTGTTTTCTCGGGGCTCTCAGATGGGCTGAGTGTATGTTCGAGAGCTGTTATGCCCTGAGGGCAAAGACAAAGGGGTCAAAGGTTAGCTGGCTTGCTTAAAAGGTGCCCACCATAGGGGATAATTGGACTCTGTCTTACCTTCATTCACTAGTTTCCCATCAGCAGGCCTATTAAGAAAGTATACAGAGTGAAAATGTGCACACTTAAACCTGCTCCACAGACCCCCTTGCTTACCATCTCCCCACGGCACGCGAACCACTAGAGAATGAAGATGCTCCGATGACCCAATGTGTCTCTTCCTCTCGGCCCACCCCCCTCTGACAGGAAGCTGGTCCCACTGATGGATTGCTGGTTGAGTCTGTCTCTGACACCCGCTCTACATGACCGGGTAAATTCATTCCATTCCTGCCTCTCTCTACACAGCGCGCCCGTCCCAGCATACACTGCCTGACAGCTAGCCTAATGGAGGGACCAGGCCAAATGGATTTCAGAAGAAAAGCGAAGGGGGGCAGGGCCTCAGGGGGGCAATAATTCTCCCCTATTTCAGAATTTATTTTCCCCAATCCTCTCACTTTTTTTTTTACTTCCAAGTTTTCTCGAAGAAATGGAAAGGAAGGAAAGGTTTCACTGCCTATTGATTCAATTTAAATGTGACAAGTCTGCATGCAGGTACATGAATAATTGTACCTTATTTACGAGTATGAGCCACATGTTGAACGTTAACCTTCCAAACTGTCTCGGGTGCACTAGATAATAGGATACATAATAAATGCTTTCATCAGTTTGATCTGATATTAGATGTTAGCAATTAGTTTTACCTGCTTATAGTATGGCATAGAAGAATGGCAGGTGGAAGCTGCATTATAGGCTAATTGCTCTCTGTGGTACCACGCGCCACGTTTAATGAGCCTTATTCTGTGTGATGAATGTGCACACACACCTATAACCTGTACAGTGTGCAGACTTGATGTTGCCTGCCAGGCAAATAGTGTGAAAGTTCAGTTGCTGAGAGCAATAAATTAGCCCGTGGAGAA